AAATTATCTAGAAAGGGACCGTGCTGAAATGGCCTGACCTTTAGAGTTACCCGCATACGAGACAAATAACTTAGGAGAAGACCTGAACTTTTTAGTTCTATCCAGATAATATGAGAGTGCGCTCTTTGCAACTAAGGAATGTAACAGATTCCCCTTTATATGTCGGTGTTTTGAAAAGAATACTAGTAAATTAATACTTTGATTTATATGAAACTCAAAATTATTTTAAGAAGGAATTTGGGATGCAATCTAAGAACCACCCTGTGCTTATAAAAAGTAAGAAAGAGGCTCCCGCCACTAAGGCATGTAGCTCACTAACTCTTTTAGCAGAAGTGACTGCTATTACAAAAGCTGTCTTACAGAAAGATAAAAAAGCAGCTCACTAGAGGTTAAAATCAGGGGAGACATAAGCTGCATTAAAACGAAGGTCAAATTCCACAAAGGGACAAGGTCCCATACTGGCAGATACAGATTCAATAAGTCTTTTTAAAACAGTTTTTCCACCAGTATATGTGAAAACAATTATTTTCCATAATGTGAGTATGGAATGCTGCTGTAGCTACTAAGTGGACCTTAATGGAGGAGAGAGACAAATCCATTGATTTTTAGTGTCGCAAGTATTGTAAAATAAGTTGCATAGGAACTGAAACTAGACCAACATTCTTACCAGATATCCATACACCAAATCTTTTCCACTTAAAACTATAACTTTTTCTAATAGATAGTTTCCTAGCATTAATTAGAAGTTGTTTTATTTCAAAAGAACATGGTTTTTCTAAATCTGTCAAAGTCCTATTGCCCAAGCTGTCAGATCTAATGTTTGCAGATCTGGGTGGAAGACCTTCCCCTATTGCTTGGACAGCATGTCTGTTGTTATTGGGAGCATCTTGTATTTGCCGTTGGAAAAATGAATTAACTCAGTGTAACACTTTGCCTTGGCCATACAGGAACAACGAAAATCAACCCTGATAGAATTCGGTCTTATTCTCTTTAGCACCTTTAGAATCAGAGGGAATGGGGGAAATGCATACATCAAGCCCCTTCCCCAATCAAGCAGAAATGCATCCAGCAATGACTGACTGTCTGAGCCTGCTCTTAAGCAAAAAGAGGGGTGTTTCATATTGGGTTTTGGTGATGAATCTCTGTCCAGAAACGAACAAAGACTGAAAATGTTCTGAATCACTGAGTCTTCAGGGATTCCTCACAGATGTATGAATGGCCTCTACTCAGTTGTTCCACAATCTCATTGTATTCTGCTACTGCCTGCAAGGCAATTGGGTACATGTTGTACAGGATACACCAGTCCAAAAGTTTTATTGCCTTGTTTCGCAGTTGAAACAATTGAGCTCCTTTCTGTTTGTTCAAATAATACATTGCTCACATGTCCATAACCATTTGAACTACTGCACTCTGCACCTGGAGAAGAAACACTTTCAGAGCCAGATGGATCACTGTCAGCTCTAACGTGTTTACGTGCACTGGGGATTCTCTGCAGCTCCAAAAATCTCAAATGAATAGGTTGCAGAGATATACTCCTCAACCTATCATAGACCCATCTGTAGTAACTCTTAACATAGGAGGAGCTGGGTTGAACCAGCCTCCTTTGAGGACATTCTGTAGTTTCAGCCAACACATCAGAGACAGTATTCTTAGCATACTGTCCATGCGGAGTGTGAAGTTCCTTTATAGCCAGTGTTGAGCCTGGCATATGGAATCACTTGTGCTATGGGTCCAATGCGTGCAATAGTAGTTTTGGAGCTGATCAGAACATGCTCAAATTCTGAGGGGAAAGGAGCACATGAGCACTCTAACAGGTACTGCTACCAGAAGTTTCCACTGTCCCAGCTGCACCAGTCAGCCTTGAGTAAAAAAGTGTGAGGGGTGATCTGATAAGTCTTCAAATATGCTAAGGGATCCTCTAAAGAGGACAATGATCAATGGTTCTCCATGTCCACTGAAAGTAGGACAAGAAGTAATCAGTTTAGTCTGCAGAAAGGGAGATTTAGGTTAGATATTGGGGGGGGGGGGGAATTCTAATTATAAGGATAGTTAAGCACTGGAATAGGCTTCCAAGAAAGGTTGTGGAATCTCTGTCACTGGAGATTTTTAAGAACGGGTTGGACAAATACCTGTCAGAGATGGCACTTCATCCTCCCTCAAAGCAGGGGGCTAGAGTAGATGACCTCTTAATGTTCCTTCCAGTCCAACATTTCTATGATTCTACAATAAGCCTGGGTAGCGTTTTTTATTTGTAACCTTTTATTCAATCAAAACTAGATGCTCAGATGATTTGTGTGTTTATCCATCCATATAATTTTTTCCTACTATTTTTGTAATACAACTGCAGTTACTGCAACCTGCTAAGTCAAAAAAGAATATCTGAAGCATCACTAGAGGTTCAATTCTTCCAAGGGGCTGCCAGAGCCTTTCTCCACCAACTCCCCACCGCCAGAGTCTTTCCCTGCTGCCTTCCGCCTTCTGCCTTTCAGTTAGGTGGGGAAAGTCTTCGGCACTGGGACAGCAGTGTAGATGTCGGTGGCATGGCTTGGGCATGTAGAGAGTCATGTAGGTAAGGTACATACCCTAGGGTTCTGATATGTCTACTCGCCTAAGCTGTGTCTCACCTTCTACACCAGGGGTTCTCAACCTTTTTCTTACTGAGGCCCCCAACACGCTATAAAAATTCCACAGCACAATAACTGTTTTTCTGCATATCCAGTAGATTAAAAGCCAGGGCGTTAGGGGGTAGCAAGCAGGGCAATTGCCCGAGGCCCCACAAAACTAAGTTGTTTGGGCTTTGGCTTCAGACCTGAGTGGCAGAGTTCAGGCTTTGGTTTTCTGCCCTGAGACCCAGCAAGTCTAACACTGGTCTCTCTCTGGTTTATTTTGGTAGATCCGCTGAAACCTACTCACGGTCCCCCAGGAGGCCCTGGACCTCTGGTTGAGAACTTCTGTTCTATACCACTAGTTATACCTATGCTAGCTGGACATGCAACATCTGTACTCTACAAGTCACCACATGCGTAGACCCACCCATTGTTTGAATTCTGAAGAATGTGTTGAAGAACACACCTCACTGGTAGTAGCAGCTGGACAACAGCTAATTTACACTAGCCAAGTATTCCAAAGGAGTGTGAATCCACCCCAAACCCTTAAATTATTACACTTTATTAAAATATCTGAGCACCACAGAGTTTAACCAAAAGCTGTAATTTCCCCTGTTATGATAAATCAAACTCTGTGTATTAAATCTAGAGATTCGGCAATAATAAAATATTGCTTTTACATACATTGAAACATTTGCAGCATAATAGTTGAGATACAATATTTAAACAGCAAAGTTACACTAAACACTGGGGATTTAGTTGGACATTGGTCCTGCTTCGAGCAGGAGGTTGGACTAGATGACCTCCTGAGATCCCTTCCAACCCTGATATTCTATGACTCTGATTCTAAAGATTGGTTTTGCAAACAGACCTTGAAATACTTCACCTTTCAACAACCACACCATGCAACTACAGACAACACCCTGTAAGTGCATGCCAGGAAAATAAAAAATGCACTTTTAAAGAATCACCTAACAATTGCTGGCAGGCAGTGTGTGAATCAATGACAGCTGCATTCTCAAAATGAATAAATCATATACAAGGTGACTCACATCAGGTGTGTAAGTCAGGTAAATCACATAACTTGTATTGCTATTGCACCACTGATAAAGAGTCCATTTATAAATCTGAAATAAAAGTTGTACACTTCAAACATCAAAAACAAAAAAATAAAGGTCCAGAATGCTGGAAATACAGAACTTTCCCCTAAAACAACTCTTGCAAAGTTATTTTCATGCCATGTTATTTTTGCCACCTTGTACTGTTTCTTTATGGCAATGACCACTAAAAAAAATCTAAAGACAACATTTAATAAAGATAAAAGCTTCACTATCTGCATTTTCTACTTGCTATTCTTTATTCTGTTGATATTTTCATAGAAATTCAGTCTGTTGCCTTTAAAACTGAAACATTTGCTAAAAAATGGCAATCCAATGTTGCAAATCAAACTAAAACATCTAATTACTGTATTTACTTCTGATTCCAAACACAAAACTAAATGAAACGAAATCACAGATACACGAAGTGTAATGACCCAGAAGGACTTCGTACATGCTTAAGATACAAGTGGAGATTACTTTGGGCTATTACGTTTTATAATTATTGCATCCACAAGCTAAATCAGCATAGGGGGATGGATATTTTTGTGTTTGGAGGAGGCGGACGCTATATGTTTGTAGGGTTGCAGTTTGGAGGTCTTTTGCTCGCAGGCAGCCGAGATCTCCACGACAGCTGAAGAACGGTAGGAATCTTTCAATGGGCAGCTATTTCCAGTGAATATGATCGAATCTGCTTCTCTTCAAAAGGCAAATCGCATCTAGCTCCACCATCCATCCCCACCTCTGGCCTCTACAGTCCCCATTACATAAATTAAGCGGAGGTGGCTGGGTCAGGGTAACTCCACCCCCTTCACATCAACATAGTAACTAGCACCTTGTGGCAGCCAACGAACCCCCGATGATTGACCCCAACAATAAAAGGTCCCACCGCCCCTTGAGCGAGGCTCCGCACTGGGCACTGCACGGGAGACGGGAGCGTGAAGAGGCGCACTCCGCTACTAAAAGTGCAGCCCCCCCTCCCCCACACCCTGCAGCGGCCAAGGGAGAGGAATTTACACACCTGTCCCTGCAATAGCCGGAGGGGGCCCGGGGCTCACCCCCCCACCAGCTGCAGACAGCGAGAGGGGGACCACCTTGGCACAGCCCTATTGCTCCCTCCACCCCGCAGGAGATGGGGGGACGGCGAAGGGGGATGGAAGAATGGAGGGGCGGCACAGCGGGGTCCCCCCCGATGAGGGGGCAGTCCCTCTCCCCGTGGGAGGGTGGACGGGGGGGGCGCCCTGCCCGGGGTGGGCGCGGGTCACGGCAGAGGAGGTGCAGGCTGCGGGGCACTTACTCTCTCCGCTCCGCGCGGGCTCCGCTCACACCTTCATGCCGCCGACCAGCCCCGCCCTCTCAGCGCCCCAGAGGCTCGCGCTGCCTCCTGCTCTGTACCAATATACGCGGTTCAAACGGCTCCTTCCAGCCGCCTCTCCCCGCTGGAGAGACTCGTTGTGGTAGGGGAGGACCCGAACCCGGCGCGAGCGGGGGTCGGCGGCGCGGAGCTCCCCAAAGGCTTCACAATAGACACAGAGCGGCGCGTGTGTGCGCGTGGGAGGAGGGGCTTCTCCCCGGCCCGGATTCCCTCTCCAGGCACGCGGGGGCTGTTTACCCAACACCTGACCGGCCGTCGCCGCTTGCCCCAGGGATTAGGTGGGTGTCTCCCCACAGCGTCCGTGGCGTTGAGGATCAGGGAGCCCCGATTTCTACACACACCCCCTCAAGATGGCAGGTGGTATAGTCCAATTCGCTCTCTCACTTACTCGATCTAGGGGGAGGGGCCGCTGGTATTGTGACGTATTCTAAAGCCGGCTCCTGGTTAGCCAATGGGAATGGGAGAGGAGGAGCTAGACTGGGAGTGGGCGGGGCTGCTGGCAGTTTCAAAGAGAATGGGCGGGGCTGTTTCAGAGAAAAGAGTGCTTCGAGTTCGTTTTACCCTGTTTCGCACAGCGTGTTCGAGTGTTCTGTACGCAGGTGTAAGGTTTCTGTTCGGGGCCCTGGCACTGCGGAGCAATTGACTGAATACATGTATTCCTCAATTTCCCCATGTATGAAATAGTGCTGCTAAAGTTAATTATCTCACAGGGGAGAGGGGGTTGTGAAGGTTAATTCAAACTACTGTGAAATCCATGTATTTAAGAAGATCTGATAGTGCACACATTATGGTCCATTGCATAGAGTTCACATTGAAACCAAGGAAGTGATGGCTAGATTGCATCAAAGAAGACAAGCAGGTGGACTTTAGTGCTGCCTTGGACAGAAGAAGATGGCAGATGGTTGCAGAAGGACCCAATCAACCCCAGATGATTAATAGATTCCAAGACCAGAAGGGACAATTGATCATCTAATCTGACTGGTATAACACAGGCCATAAACTTCCTCAAAATAATTCCTAGCACAGATCTTTTAGAAAAAACATCTAAGCTTGATTTTAAAATTGTCAGTGTTGGAGACCCCACCACAACCCTTGGTAAATTGTTCCAATGTTTAATGACTCTCACCATTAAAACTATGCCTTATTTCCAGCCTGAATTTGTCTAGCTTCTCTGTGCAGCCATTGGATCATTTTATACCTTTCTCTGCTAGACTGAACACAATCCAGTGGCTGGAGGCTGAAATTAGACAAATGGTGTTGTCCATTTCCCTGGCTGCAATGGAATAAGGGGAAGAAGTATAGAGTTCATATTATGGGAATATTGTATCTTTATAATTTACAGGTAAATGTAAAATATTGCCCCCAACATCCAAAACTGTCATTCAAGTTTAATTTCTTTGATGATTTCATCACAAATTTGAGCTATGGATAACATGGAAATAGTAGGTTTCAGAGTAGCAGCCGTGTTAGTCTGTATCCGCAAAAAGAAAAGGAGGACTTGTGGCACCTTAGAGACTAACCAATTTATTTGAGCATAAGCTTTCGTGAGCTACAGCTCACTTCATCAGATGTAGCTCACGAAAGCTTATGCTCAAATAAATTGGTTAGTCTCTAAGGTGCCACAAGTACTCCTTTTCTTTTTATGGAAATAGTAGGTTTGGAAAATTGGTATCTGTTTGCAGATTTTATGCTTATGTCTACCCCACAGTACCTTCCATGGATGATTGGGAGTACTGGGGTCATTAGGGTCATTAGTTTTAGTCTCATTCTCTTTTTGTTTTTTTTGTTATGGAGTGCTTTCTTTGGGGCATTTATAGTTATATTTATTATTTGTCACTTGTCAGAGAGGCAGTGATCGTGTCATTCAGAACCACAGGATCCTGCTTTCACCCTCCAGGACGCTTCAAATCCGACCTCCCCAGCTCTGACGCGTTGCATGCTGGGATTTGTAGTCCTTGCTGTGATTCCTGAAAGATTAAACCCTCCTTCAGCTCCATGGGAGGGGATTTCTGCTTCCCAAAAAGTTTCGTTAGAGACCCAGAAAATTATAAATAATAATTTTTATTTTTTTAAAATTGTATTTGAGTAATTTTCATTCAGTCGCAAAAACAAATAAATCTAGGAGAGGATTGTTATGTAACTGACAGGACCCGTTTGTTCCGGGTCACTGCTCCTGTGGTTCCTCCTTGCTAAGATGTCGGCCGCTATCGCAGCGCTCGCGTCTTACGGTGTCTCCGACTCGGGCTCCGACTCGGGTTCGGACACTGAGGGAAGCTCCCGCCGCTCGGCGCAGGTAGCCAGCCGGGACTCGGTGCTGCATCTCGCTTCACCGTCCCCTGCCCCGCAGGCCTTGGCGGTGGACTCGGCCCCGGAGGTGGCTGTGAAGGTAGGTGCCGCCCCGGGCGTCTGGCTGCAAGGGGGCAGGAAGGGGGAGCAAGGGAATCCCCTTCCCTCCGGCCTGGGCTGGGCGGGAATCCCCTTCCCGCCTCCTGGGTAGCGCTGCTGGGCCTGTGCCTGGCAGGGGGCAGCTGCCCCGTGGCGGTTGCCCTTTTCCGTGTGTCTCGCTTAGTGGCTTCAGAGGCCTCGTGCTGTCTGGCCGCCCTCAGCTGGGGGGTTGGGGTGGAGACTGGGGCTGCCTGCCCCGGGCCCTGGCTGCTAGAAAGGTATTCGGGGGTGGCAGGGGATGCAGAGCCCCTTAATAGCTCGGTGGCTGGCCAGCTGCCTCTTGCATTGCAGGTGCGTAGGGTTGCTTCTTTCTCTCAGTTGTCAGCTCTCTTCGGCTACTGCACCGATTTAACCAGGTTAAAGTCTTGGACCTTGTAGCTGATCTTCTAAATTAGGTCTTGAAACAATCAGATCTCCAGTCGGCAAGGGGAGAAGGCACCTAGGGTATGAAATGTGCATACAGAATGCTGGGGGAAGCTGGGGAGAGGAGAATCCGCGAGGTCAAAGTATGATATTCTGATGTTAACCTAGCTCTCTGCAGCCAGGCGGGGGAAGGGTGTTCGGGATTAATGTGGTAATGCTGTTCCTGACCCCCTTCCCCTCCCTCTGTGGTGGACTCGGGCTTCCTTGGTTTGGCTAACAGGTGTCTTCAACCCACTACTCAGTTTACCACTCTCTGCCCCCCCCCATGCTTTTGGGGGCAGAGGGGTGATTAAAACCAGAGTATGACACACAGACCTTTGGGATGCTGTCCTCCTCTCTGCTCCCTTCCTCTGCCCCCCCCCCCATGTTTTGTTTACACACTTCAAATTGTAGGCATCTTATACTCTTCGCTAGCTAATTGTTTCAAGCCCTGATTTAGAGGATTGATTATGTGGTTCAAAATCTTAATTTGATACTGGTCCCTGCTGTTTAATCTTTAAACTTTTTTTGTTTTTGTTTTTGTTTTGCTGTATCCCTGTTATCCCCAGATAGCAGTAGAATGAAATTGACCTAATTCTTGACACACTAACTGCTGCTTACAGTGCTGTGAATAGCAACAGTGAAGGCTGACCAGTGTTGCATACATTTCACTCTAGTACTTCTTGGTGAAGCTATGAGCAGCATGATTTCATTTTGTAAGCTCAGAAAGACAAGACTGCATTGGTTCACTTTTAGAAAGTTATCTTCAGAACCAAAAGGTACAGAAGGTTAGAAACAATTCACTTTTAAATGAAATCATAAATTCTGCAGAAGTTGATGGCACAGTAGCACCATCACAAGCACATGCCCCAGTGAATGCATCATACTCCACAGTGCGAAATAGATGAATGGATTTTTTTTTTCCATTCACTGCCTCAAATGAAAGATGGATGTGTTATCGCAGCTGCCCATCTGACACTTATCTGTACATCCCATGATGTTTGGGCACCACCACACTCCTTAGAGTTTCTAATCTCTCTGGGATGTTAGTGTACAGTTTGACAGTCATATTAGTTAACATCTGTAAAGGGCTTTGACCATGAATGTTAAATAACAAGTAGCAGTGACAATGCATTGAGGCCCATCAGAGCCTTACATAAATTTAAAGGTGATGCCTAGGGTACCAGTCTGAAAAGCTGAACCACTGATGTACTGGTGGACCACTTTCTGCTGGTTGGAGGCTACTACATTATCAATGTTGCAGAGAGTGTGGCTTTTTTAACACTTCCAGGAAAAGATATTTTCTGCAAGAGTCAATATTTAGAGACCTATGAGAAATCCACTCCCTTTATATTATCTTTAAAAAGTGTTTTCATGGAGGCGACTTGTGCTCCAGTCCTCTTGTTGTTGATAATGACGGGGGAAAAAAAATGAAATTTTACTCAGCTATCCCAAAACATCGCATTTAGTAGTGAGTAGAATTTTGTGTTAAATGCGAAAAAGAAGATGGGGCTATGTTATTTGGCAGGCAAACTATTTTGTTTATTTAGATTTTACTACTCTACTATAAAAGTGTCTCCACCATGCTCTGGTAACCCTTGACAATCTCTTTAAAATATACTAGCAACTAAACAGACCCATTAGTTACCCCAAAATCAAACTCAAGTGACAACACAAATACAAGAAATTAACACACACGCATCCCATACAATCCTCACCAGATCCCAAGATTATGAACCCAGGTAACAAAAGGCAGATGTACACCCTCAATTTAACGCATAGAAATTATCCTTGTCACTTCTTCCAGCTTGCTTCCTACAATCAATCAACATCCCTTTTGTCTTGTCTGGACTAAGTTGTAGCCATCTTGCCCTGGTGCGTGCCTCAACCTTTTCCAGACACCAAGTAATGCCATCAGCACTTCCAGCCATGCTGATGGAGATATAAAGCTGAGTGTATTCAGAATATTAAAGACCTTCCGGTCCATGTAAAACTCCTGATAGCCTCATGCATGCATTAAACAAAAGGAGTGACAACATGAAACGTTGCAGAACCCCCCCAGAAGAGTACTTACATGGGGAGATGCAGGTTTCCTACACCACCTTCTGAGAGTGCCCATCAAAGTGCCACTCAAATAGGCCTGTTCACTCATGCTATGGTTTGCAAAAAAAGTCAACATCCAATTATGGTGAACTTTATCAAAGACTGATCACAGATGTAATAATATCAGGATAGATACTTGATCTTCATCTGTTGTCAGGAGATTATCCCCCGATACCACCAGGGCTGTCTCTGCTCTACCCAGGTTGGCAACTAGTGTAGAAAAGAACTGAGGCTACTAAATAGTGTTTGAGTTATCTCACCACAACCTTTTCAATAATCTTAACTGAAAATGGAAGACTTAAAATGGCATGATAGCTGGAAAGATTCAATAACAAGCAGTGATTTTTTTGAGTGCAGGAGGTACTTGTGCTTCTTTCAGTGAAAAGATACCTCCCTCTTTCAAGGATGTA